ACAGACCCATGCAGGCTCCATGATTACTACTACCTCAGTCTCTGTGAGCCCCCATGAGCCCTGATTAGTTGATTCACTGGTGTGCTCTCCTGGTGTCCTCTGAGGGTGTTGGGACCCATAAAGATGGCTTCAGTTCATCTTGGCTTAAGGTCAGAGAGTTCAAAACTATCCCCACTCTTCCAAGGTTAAAGTCATAAGACATAAATGTCTAAGGTATGGCTACTATAGGATGTTTGTTCTTAGGTGTAGATGTCTTATCTAAATAACAAGAGACTTGATCTGAGGTGTGGTTACTCTTAACCCTCAAGGCCAGATAACAAGAGATTTAGTCTAAGGTGTGGTTACCAAATGCTTGGACAATTAAGGAAGAAAGTCTGTTTCTTCCTTTTATCATAATAAATAAGTCTTTTACCATTTCCCCCTTTTGGTTTTGGTATATTGAACCTCGGGTGTTCAGTATACACTAGATTGACCTCCTGATTCTATCCTATGTCCTGTCTTTTCCTTAGCATCTTTATCTCATTCCACTCTCCTCCTCTCCAGTACAAACCAGGAGAGTTGGCTGAATTCAACTGAAGCCTGCTTAGATGGATTACTACAGATTGGCATCTCAGTGTGGGGCTACAACATGAGGGTAGGGACCTGATGGAGACGTCCAACCTGGGTGCTCTCTCCCGCTAGTGTGTGACTGTGGGTCTCTGTATCCGCTCCCATTAGTTGCCAATAGAAGCCTCTCTGATGACAACTGGACTAGGCATTGACTTATGAGTATAACATATATGTGCTAGAGGAACGAGTACAGACCCATGCAGACTTAAGGTGCATTGCTCCAGGCTCTTTTAACTTGTACATTTTCCATTGAGAAATTGGCTGTCATTCTGGTGGCTTTTCCTATATGTGTGATTGTGGTTTCATTTTCTTGCTTTCAGTGCCCTCTCTTTGTTCTGTATGTTTGGTATTTAATAATAACAAGCAATGCAGAGGTTCTTTTCTGGTCCTATCTAATCAGTCTGTATGCTTCTTGGATCTGTAGTGTTATATATTTCTCAGTTTAGGGAAGTTTTCTTCTATGAGCTTGTGGAAGATCTGGTCTATGCCATTGAACTGGGATTATTCTCTTCATCTGTGTCTCCAATATGAAGAATTGGCCTTTTCATGGAATCTCATAATTACTGTATATTTCTTTTGTGTGTTTAAAAGTTTCCCCCATTCTTCACTTGAGTGGTCTGTCTCCTCTAGCTTACCTTCAAGTCTTGATATTCTACCTTCAACTTTATCCATTCTACTTATATGACTTTGCCCTGAGTTTACTAATTACATTTTTAGTTTTTTCAACTCTGTCTTCATTTAATCTTGAGTTCTCTTCAATAATTGTATCTCTTTTATGAGTCCAGTTTTCAGATATGGAATTGTGTTTATTATTTGGTTCAGCTGCACATTGTGTTTCCTTGGACATAACTCAGGCCTTTATTTCTATCCCTTTTAATACTATTGAGCTGTTTGTTCATTTCTTCTTTAAAATCATTAAATTATTTAATGAGATTTATTATTGCTCTTTAAATTTGTTTCCTATGCCTCTGTGATATTTTATTGAGAGCATTCTACAGGACTAGTGGGTTTGGGAAGGGTTGTGACATAATCGTGGGTTTCTTACCCTGGTTGTGTGTCTGGTGTTGGATTCTAGTTTGCCTCAGGCTGGACTGGTGCAGGGGTTTTGTAACCAGAGCTTGGTTTGGAAGTATGAAGATGGCTTGGGAAGGCTTTGTTCTGGGTTGTGTGCAAGCTGTGCCTCCTGGAGTTATGCCTGGGAGGATAGAATGCTGTGGTGTGTTTAGAGAACTCACTAGGTTAAGCTGTGAGTGACCTTTGCCTCCAGAGGTCACCCTAGGAGTGCAGGATTATATGCACAGGGGAGGTCTGTACACATGAGTGTGGTTGCCCAAGGAGGCCAGCAGTGTTGGACCCCAGAAGCTGCAGGGCAGGGAGTTGTGAGATGCTCAGTGTGGGGGTTCATAATTGAATTAAGGTCCCTGGCAAAAGCTGTATGCATTCTTAATTTTGGAGTCAACTTTCCATCCCTATTAGTTCCTCATATATTTCTAAATGTTGTACTGTGTACAACTACATATGTCATAGATGCTGCATATGGTTACTATTGTAAACTGAGGGTCATAGGAATAAGACATATTCTTGTAAAAAGGATTCAAGGCTTACTGAATAATTTCAACTTCTTGATTGTGGAGAGATGAAATGTTGCCAATCTAGAGCCAGATATTCATGGGATATCTTTAGTCTTAATAGCCATGCATTGTTCATTTCTGAGTCTGATTGTACTTCATCTCAACTGGCAGTTAGAAACTTATTAACAGACTATTGACTTCTAACATCTCCAAAGCTAAGAATGATACCAGATACCATTGAAACCCAACCCTGGATTTTCTCTGCTTTGCTCTAACAGGTCTGCATGGTTTCCTTACCATTTCTTACCATAAATGCCTTATGTTTTGTTGTTGTTGTGTTACTGTGAAAGTTCATATAATTGCTTCCATGTAGGCATATGTCATTTAAGAGAAACCTGAATTCATGTTCCTAGACTACAATCACTCATATTCAGCTCATGATAAATTATTTCTTATTCTTTTTGAAATGAAAATTAGTTTACCTTGGAAGTTTCTATTCTGGTTTCAAATATCTTATAGAGCTATAGTCACTGAACAGCATGGCACTTGCACAAAATTAGATAAGGAAATCAATGGAGTATAATAGAAGAACCAAATATGAATCCCCAGAGCTACAGTCACCTGATTTTTGGCAGATACAAAAAATACTCATTGGAGAAAATGCAGCCTGTTTAAGAAGACTGCCACAGGAGAAACTAGGCAGAATTTCAAGATAAGGGTTGGTAATAATGGCATGCACTACCACACCTGACTCTATGTTTTTGTTTTCCCATCAATTACATCTAATGCTTAAAGTTGTTTTGTGTGTGAGGGAACTAAATTTTTTCATCACTAAATACAAAGTCCATGGACAATTTCTTGAGGACAGATTGTTCTCCTCAAAAGTGTCGTAGGATAACATCTGAAACTTGTGCCTGGATTTTCTATGCTTTGCTGTATCCAGTCTACATGGTTTTCCTACCTTCATTTATGTTCTTTTTTTCCACTCATTGTTACACTAATATTCATGTAATTACTACCATGTAGGGATACACTATTTGAGGGTAACCTGAATTCATGCATCTAACAGAAGATAGATTACAAGAGGAGAACACACACATGGATTCAGTTTCACAAGACACAAGGTTCTTCAGAAATGAAGAGATAGAAGTCTATGTTATACTAAGTCTTACAAAGAGGTGGCTAATCCTAAGGAATGTGATTTAAGAAACAAAGGCATAATCTACTGCTAATGGAGTGGGGGGACTTAGAAAGCATGAGCAGTTTTCTCATAGAGGTAGAGCCCATGTAATATGATGGTCTTGAGAAGGTTGGGGCAGGGCTCAGGGTTATGGCTTCGTTTAAGGAAGGCAGGGGATAGGCAGGCATGACTGTCTTGCTTTTGCTACTTTCTGATTTTCCATGGTGCAATATTGTAGTGCAGCACTTCCTGTACCAATCAGACTTCATAGTTTTCTGGAAGGTATTTAATGTTCATGCTAGGTATTTCTATAACTGGAAGACTTTTTCATCTGTACGTCTTTGCAGTCCATAAAAAATTTTCCATAATGAACACATATTTTTTTCTAAAAACAGTAAAGTGACTACTCTGTAAAATTATTGGGGCCATAAATGGTGCATTTAAATTGTAACGGTGGCTTATTGGGGGAGTATGTCCTTGAGAAAATGAATGGTTTATTACTCTAATTTTCTGTGGTTAAAGTTTTTCTGTAAGCTCACCCATTAATTACTTTATTTTGAAAGGTTCTATTGGACGATCCCCTCCCCCACTTCCAATTTTCTGAATAGGTAATTTAATTTAAGATAAAAGAAAGATTTCTGGCTCAAGATGTTTTGGATCAGTGTTTCATCACAGCAATAGAAAAGCAGATTAGGACAGCATCCAAAAGGCCATCTATCACAGTCTTGTCAGCTTCATACACAAGTGTTTTCATAATTATTCTTCTATCAATAAAGACTCAGGAGTCAGATATCAGGGTAAAAACCTGATTGATCAGAGAAGCAGTGGAGATGTGACCAGTGGCCTCCTCTCCCTCTCCTTCCTCTAATCTAAAGGGTTGAGCATCTCTCTAAGTCTCTTCGTACAACTTCCTGTGTCTCTCTCTCCCTATGTCCTGAGTCCTCCAAAACCCCTATGGCTAATTCTGGCCAGCTAGTAGCTATCTCTGCCCTCTGATTCAAGGAAAACATTATTGTCAGTCTAGCGAGTGTCAGCATGTGATCAAAATATCCCACAATATCATCACTTTGACAAAATCCAGAATCTCTTCATGGTAAAGCTCGTGAGATTCTAGGGACACAGGGGATGTATCTCAACACAATAAAGGCAATATAAAACATCCCAAATCCTAGAATGGATGGCATAGAGCTCATGAAGCCCCCATCCCCAGAGGAGGAGCTACTGCCAAGAGTTGGTTGCTGGAGGAGGTGGACGGTGGGATGTGGTCTCTGGCTACCCATGCTCCGTAGAAGGTCTTACACCCAAGCGCACACAGCAGCACTGAGTGGACACAGTGGGCTTAAAAGAAAAACAGCACATGAGACTGGGAGAGAAAAGAAGTGAGGTGGAAGGGGCAGGCTGTGGTGGAGGGAATGGGGAAGGGTTTGATAAAAGTGAATTCCACACGCATGAAATTTTCAAACAAACAAAAAATGTGTGGTTGTAAGGTTCCTTTCAATTTACATGACTTTGTGTTTCAAAGAAGGGTATCAATTTCAAAATCAGTTTTTAATATGCCTAACTGATAAAGAATGCTAATGTAGTGAATTGATTCATTTAGTCTAATTTCCCTACTCAAGGATACACGTTATTCCAATGTGTGAATGCTGCTGAAGGTGTATTTATGATTCTTTCTGGAAGAAACATGGTCTGTATTGACAGAATATCATGCAATAAACGGAAAGTCTTAAGACAGGAAAGTTTGAAACTGAATGTTTAAAGGACAATCTCACTTCGAACTCTGGTTCTACTTGAGCAGTAGATACAAATGCAGGCGAGATCCAGTTGCTAGAAGAGAGTAGAGAAAATGGGGGTCCAGGGAAAAGTGAACTAGACTACTGTTTGTTTGGAGCTGGTTTAGCCGTTGCCTCTGGAGATGCGCTGACGGCCATGCCATTATCCTCAGCAGCAGTAACTTTCACAACCCAGAGATGCTTCTTCCTCGCTGTTGGAGAGCACATATGTGATCTATGCATTGACAGTGTGAGGAGATAAGCTAGATCCTAGGATGCACAAAGAAGAGGACCGTCTGGTGACCGTCCCAAATCTCTTTCCGTAGACCTCTTCTTCACTGGAAGGCGATCTGTACCTGTGCTTTCAGTTCTCATAAGCAAGACAGACGCCAGCAGCAAAGTCTCTTTCCTCTTGTTGCATTTATTAGTGGACTACCCCGCATGTTCTGAAAACAGGACTTGCAGTCGATGGTGAGAACATCGGTCAGTACCAGACATTTTAACAATGGGGACAACTCACTTTTACTCATATCAGAGTAACACATGGGTATGCGGTCCTTACGATCCATAACGGATGTTTTCTCATGTTGGAATTTGGGTGTTGTCACCCTCTTGCTCCTCCCCATGCATTTGAACCATGTCTCCTGTGTTCACTTGCATTTAGTCCGAAGGACTTACTTCTGGCATTTCACAAATCCAAGGCATGCTATAAAAACAGGGTATGTCATTCCAGTTCTTCCTGGGGTTTCCAGAGTCCCTTATGGTGACACAGTCCTCCACGTAAACTATATTGTTGGGCTCCCCGGCGTCCCAGAAGCTGTGAAGGGGAAACATGGGAGATTTTAGATCTCAGGGAAAGGAGACAACACATTAATCAACTCACATATTTGTTATTTAACTCTTTTTGTGAGGTGAAATTATAATCTCCATTTTATTAATGAAGAAAAAACCCACTTGCCTATGTCATCAGCTGGTGGGATCTTCCTGGACTTTTATACTGCCATGCAACTCCATAGGTTTGGACCCAGAAAGAGATGTCATGATAAGGACTGGTGACCTGGCAGGTGCGCTGCCTCTGCTTGCCTACCTCATGCTGCTCTCCCTCTCCTCGTCCTCCTAGGGCATCCTTCACTGTGCAGGGAAGCCAACCTCAGGATTCAGGGCAGGCAAGCTTGTCAGCTGAGTGAGTTTCCTCAAATGCTGGATAAAGATTAGTACCACTGACATGTCTCAGAAATGTGCAATTTCAATAAAGAGAAACAATGAAAACCATTGTTTCAATAAAGAGAAACAATGAAAACTCTAAAATGTGATGTTGTAATGACACAAGGCCATTATTAAGGGGAAAGGCCATAGGACCATCAGAATATTCTGTTCTGTCTAAGTTACTGTGTCTCACTTATTTCTATTTTAGGGTATAAGATTCAGCTTTACTGTTTTCAAAATCTACACTGCAGTCAGTGATCTTCAGTTCTAATTTCCTCGTCATTTTCATTTAGTATGTCTCTTTCTTTCTTTTGGCATTCCTAGGGAATGGGAGGGTTGGGAACCTGTACCTCTAATTCCCTTCTTCCTGCATCCAGTATCACCAGTGATGGACCTGAACTTACATCACTGTTACAAAAGCCAGTCTGAGAATTCCAGGAACATGGCCTCACTTTAGGATCACCTGATGTGACAATTTCCCCACAAGATGTATTTACCTCAGGGACTCTGTGAACGGTGTGTTATCCACCCATTGCCATTGACCCTCAACCACCTGGTCGGTCAGTCCAATATAAAACTCTTTCTTCTTGGGTTTTGTTTGAAAAAGGAATTCCTAAGGAAGAAGCATAATACTGACAATAACAACAATATAGAAGACACGATCAATTAGTTTGGTTCTGAAGAGATACTGCAAGCAGTTTTTAGAAGAGGTGAAATATAATTGAGACTTGACACTAGTCTCAAACTGTAAGATTACTGAAGGACGTCTACTAATTTTTTATTGTGAGAAACTACAAATAACTCAACAGATAAAAACCCCCTAACCTCCAAAAGGAGATTCTGGGTAATTCATTCAAAGTTGGTCTATAGCAGATGGCAGTCACATCCGATGCATCTAGTTATGAAGAATTAATCGGGGCCTGGAGACAACGGGTAATAGTTTTTGTTCTCACTTATACAAAGTATTCATCAACAAAATATTATCCTAAAGTTAGCTCCTACTCCCCTCCCTTCTGGTTAATATCCAATCTCTTCATGTAAATCAGCCTTGTAAAGGTCCTGTTAATTCTGAGCCCGAAAGTGTATCACGCTGTGAAACAGTGACAGCTGGACACTTGTCAGCCCACTCCTATGGCAAACAGCCATGGCTCAAACCTTGTACACAAGTTGGGGAGAAAAGATACGTGTAGGCATCCTACTGACACAGAGGAGCCCATTTGCCAAATACCTGCTCTTCCGGTGTGTTGATGACCACCAGGTGAGCCCCCATTTCTGAGCAATTCTTTAAACTTGATGGCCAGGTCAGGGTGGTCGTGGAGAAAAAGTAACAACTTGACTGAAAATGTTTCCAGTTCAAAGGACAGCAGTTCTTGACTGAACCTAGGAGGACAGAGGCTTCAGGGAGTGCCGGGGAATTTTGCTTGTGATGCAGTGGAGTCCAACGCCGGGAGCCCCAAGCTTAGAATCTTAGAATCTCCTTTGTAGCCCTACCTTGCTCTCTAAGACTGTTAGGGAATTCCAGTGTCAATAAAACAAGCATCAACTTTGTCTTTGAAACATAATCTTTATTTTCTAGATGTCAGGACCAGTAAACACAGCAATGTGTGCAGTCCACCTGGGTCGTGGAGTCATAACAGAATTCTAGTTCCATGCTTAGGCTTGCACGTTCAGTCTCGAGTCTTCTCTGGGAGACTCCAGGGCAAACCCCCTCAGCGCCTAAGCACTGCACTCTTACCAATTCTCTGAACCTGGATAAATGCTTTAGAACTGTAGAATTTCAGTAGTTGAAATTTCTTGAGCTAAATCTCTCTTAATTTAATGACAAGAAAATTGTGTCTCAGAGAAATAACTTACTTTGCCCGAGTCCAGTAGCATTTTGCCATGTCTTGAACTATGCTCACATATGAGAATTTCCTAAAGTATATTAAAATTCTCTATATGGGCTTTTCTCCTCCACCTCATTTTGGAAGCAGGCAAATGAAGAAAAACTTCCACTCTTGGCAATAAATTCTTTCCTTTCCAGAATTCCCGTGTAGATGCATATTTGAAATTTGTCCTCAGGGTTTGCTGCAATGTCCCTGAGATCCCTGACTCAAGGCCACCTGCTTTTCCAGAGCTTTGTCCCTCTGCTCTCAACAACCTTCCCCCACTCTCTGCATAGAGGGGAGTCATGATTTCATTTGGAAGACCAGAAATAACCCCACTCTAGCTTCCTTATTCCAAAGATAATCAAGAAGCTAAGAAAAGGCTGTCATATGTACTTCAGTGTTCAGTTTTGCAGATGCTCGTACCTGATGCGACACTGTAGCACGAGAGCTCCTTGACACTTTCATGTGACAGTAACTTTTTCTGCTCATAAATTTGACAGCTGCGATATGTCACTGTAAAGGAAAGGGGTGAGGTCAAGGCTTCATATCCTTGTTAAATGAAATCCTTGCCCTCAGTTTTCTGCTCGTAACAACATGGTCAACAGTGATCAGGAAGTTTCTTCACTGCCTACTCTTGCCTCCTCGATGGGATCCACTTCCCCAAAGAAAGTGCAATCCACATTTCGAGGCTTTACTGACTTTAAAAAGAATAAACTATTTCAGGTCAAAAATATGTTTACAGTCCCTCCTGTGGTGGGTCTAACCATTTAAACCTTCCACCCACAAAGCAAATTCCCGTGCCTTTGGTTCTAACCAGTGACCTAAGCTGCGGGTTAATCTTTCATAGAGAAGGTTAGCCTAATGACAGGGGTCTGAAAGGAAGAATCCAACAGCACCAATGGGATGGAAAAAAAAAAAACGCATCACAAAAATGAGTAGAGGCGACTGAAATTCAGCCATGTTTTCAGACTAGGTGAGTTTCTTCCGGCTTGGGAAACAGCCTAGAGCTTGAGGATGAATGAGAAGGAAAATTAAATAAAATGGCACTATAAATCTGGTTAAAACCCATCGCAGGGGACCTCATAGGCCCTAACTGAGCCTATGAATACTGCTATTCAGCTAAATTAATCCAGTGTCAGGTTGCCATCTCTGCATTTGTGTTTATATCCATAGATAGATAAACACTATGCAGTCTTCATTAGAGGAGCCCCCCCCCCTTCCAGTGAATGGTGGAGAACGCAGAAATGCGTGGCCACACAAGGCGCTGAGAGGAAGTGATGGATGAGTGTGCTCTGCTCTAAGCAAGACATTTGTCACCCACTTTATGGCCCAGGGAAGAGGGGAAGGATGTAAGAGCCAGAAGATAAGGAGAAGAGCTGTGGAATGTCATCTAGACCAACACAGCTGTTACAACCATAAACCAACAGTGGCTGCAGGCGATGGCACTGGATGCAGCCATTCACTCTCAGGCAGAGTGGAGGAGAGCCTCAGGAAGCCCTGCCCTCTGCTGGGCTCTTTCCTACTGATGGAGTCAGGGAGTGGGGGAATTGTTGCCTTCAGCTGTGTACCCACTGATGACCCCAACATCCTCCAATGGGCACCCTGTCTAGTGATCACACAGGTGGCCCATGTTTAACTAAATGGGTCACAAAACTGAACCCAAAGTCAGGAAACTGGGGAAGGGACTAGGTGGGCATCGATAGAGAAGAGAGGGCCATGGGCAGGTGTGAGAGAATGAGTAATCAGAATACGTTATATACACACGTGAAACTGTTAAAAATAAGATCTGTCAAGAAGAATAAAATACAGCATATAGGAAACTTTGTAAGAAAGGAAAGGCGACGCAACAAGCATGAATCTGCTGCTAGCCACGGTGAAACAGTGAATTTGACTCTCAGAACCCACCAGCACATCTGGTGATGAAACAGGCGCTGAGAAACAGGATGGAGACCCCAGCCACGGTCCATGAGAGCACTTGGGAAGTTTTGAAGCATCCTCCCTCTGTATGAAGAAAGATACAACACACAGTGAATCTTCCCAAAGCAATATACAAAAGAGATTTGAGTCAATTCTATCCTTACTACTTCCTGTTCAAAATTGCCTGTACCTACTGACCTCCGGGCTTGTCCGTGTATCCATGTGGTGTGGAGATTGCTGGGCCTCACCCCCTCCAACCCTGGAGTTAACAATTCAGGAGAGCTGTGTGGAGCAGTGTGCTCTCAGGGGCTGCTAGCCTGGAAACCACACCTTAAGATCTGTGGTCATCCATGGCTGCTTTTAAGACCAGGGCTCACATATATGAGCTTTCATCAGTAATTCCCCATACTTTAAGGCCTTCCCTGTATATTTCCTTCTCTCCTTTTCTCCTTTTGCTTCATTTTCCCCTTTGCTTTTCTAGTCTCTCTCCTAGTGTCATCTTCTCAGCATCTCACTGGCAATCTCTTCATAAATTAAATAAATGTAACAGTCTTGCTGTGGGCACTTCCTTTCCCCAATATACATTTTACAGACAGGTAGAGTGAATTCCACAGAAGCCAAGGACTTGCTCCAAGACATTCAGAGCATCACAGAAGGAAGACACAGGGAACTGGCAGCTTTTCCCAGGCTCCTCAGCGAGCATTCTGCTAGTCCTGACCTTCCCTCTCTCTGCCTTTTCCTTTCCACCTCACTGCATACTTTTCCATTGTTCTTAAGAGACTCCTCACTGTTCTAACAGGAGAGCTGTGCGAGCAGAGGAAGACTTGTGCACTGTACCTGTGTGGTGAGATACAGATGATTTTGGTGAATGCATTCTTCTTTCCCCCTTTCCTCCCTTTCTCTCTCTTCCTGATTTAGCAGGCACCCTCGGAAGGTGAGTCTCAAAATGTGACTTCTTCACCCGCTTTTAAATGTTCGACCCTGTCAGACCCGGCTCTCATCGCAGTGTGCTAATGTGCTCTGCTGCCGTACAATGAAGCCAGAGTTTCCTTTCTTGCACAAGGACAGGGAGTTTATTAGACAACGTGACACTTCTCCCTCCAGACCACAAAAGAGGAACGATGAGGTAGGTGGGAAGCATCAAGAGAAATGGCTGAGGAGCCTGAAGAAAAGATCTCGTTTCATTTTGCTGGACAAATGCCTTATTTTCTTCAGAGTCTACCTTTAGCACCGTGGGACTCGGCACCACATTCTAAATTCTGGTTTTTGGCTTTGTTTTATTTATTTATTTATTTATTTATTTTTGTCTGTATCAAGTACACATTTGTTCACAGGTTGGTGAGAGTCGAGATTCTCCCCCCACAAGCACACAGCTGGGCACACAGTGTGCGTATTTACAAGTTAGGGATGAGAGTTTCTTTTCATCTTTTTGCCTCTCTTCCCTGAGCAGCTTTGGACACCCTCTTTGGACTCTGCCTGCTGGGCTGTGTCTTAGCTCCGCCTCATGCTATTTTGCAAGTCAGCTCAGTTTCTTACAGTGACACATGATCTCTGCAGACTCACTGGACACTTTAATTCCGTTTATATTTATCTGGAAATTTTAGAGGAGTGACAGATATGAATGTCAGAAGAAACAATTTCATCTAGACATGGAATTCCATGCTTCTCTGGAATCTCTCTCAGAGACACTAAAAGTCACTTTAGCATCAGCTGTCTAACTTTGCGAATGTGCGGAGGCAGAAGTGATATACACATGACTTTGGCAATCCCCAGGCTTGATGAGCCAGCCACACAATGCTTTGGTCTCATGGCAGCCTGCTGTTATTTCAACTGACTGGAAATTTTCCTCAGTTCTTTTCATTTTCAGACACATGGATTTATTCAAGTCTTTTAAATCATCTATTAAAATTGGTATGGTTTGGCTGCATTTTCACTGTAATTGCCTGTGTACTATAGAAGTTTTGTTCCTAGGGAGAAAGTTTTGTGGACTTCAAGAACTGAGCCCTTGTGAAAGGACCATAGTTTCTGTGGTTTTGAGAAGTCCAACACATTTAAAACCTCTGTGGCTTCTTGGCTTCTGATGGTGTGTGCCACCTTTACAAAGACCCAATTGTGGGGCTGCCCAGTCTTTGACCTGATGATCCAACAAGCATGCCAAAAGAAAACTGTTTTCTTCACAGACGACCCATGTCAGGCCTTTCATTATAGTGGTGGAAAGGTACATAACACACACACAGTATACACCACACATACATTCAATATATATATATATATATATATATATATATATATTTAGTAAAACCTATTAAATTAAGCCCAACTTCTGCTTGACCTCTTTGGGATCTCCTGTCCTGGGTACTGTGGGCAGATGGCAGGCAGACCAAGCCACTGAGAGTCTAACAAAGTAGACTTCAAACTAAAATCAATTAAAAGAGATAAAGAAGGTCATTTCATATTCATCACAGGAAAAATCCATCAGGATGAATACTCACTTCTGAACATCTATGCCCCAAATACAAAGGTGCCCACATTCATAAAAGAAACATCACTAAAACTCAAATCACACATAAAACCTCACACAATTACAGTGGGAGACTTCAAAACCCCACTCATGCCACTAGACAGGACCACCAGACAGAAACTTAACAAGAAAGAAAAGAATTAACAGAAGTTAAGACCCGGGCGATCCCAGCTTCAGGTGAGCTTGGGTCTCCAGGGGGACACTCCCCATCCCCTGTCCAAGACCCATCCCCTTGAGCCACTCCTGGCATCCAGAAGACCTGCCCACACAGGAAAGACATCAGCCCTTCCAGGCCCCAACCCCTGGTGACACCAGCTTCAGCTTAAGCTTCAGTGTCAGCATCCCCAGCTTCAGCTTCAGGAAGAAAGGAGACCAGTGGAAATGGAAAGACCCTACCAGCACCCAGGAAGAAGAGATGGGGAGAAGACAGAATAAGAGCTCACTCAGCAATAAAAAGACCAACATGACTCCACCAGAATCTAGGGAACCAATGCCAGCAAGACCTGAAAAGCACTACATAGACGAAGCAGAGGAGACAGACCTTAAAAATTATTTTATGAAGATGATAGAGACCCTCAAAGAAGAAACGAGGAAATCCCTTAAAGAAATAGAAGAAAAAGACAAACAAAAAATCCATGAAATAGGGAAAAATTCAAGAAATAAACAAATCTCTCAAAGAATCTAAAGAGTACCAAGAAAAAAAAACAACCAAACAAATGAAGGAAACAAGACAAACAGTTGAAGGATTGAAAGCTGAAATAGAAACAATAAAGAAAACACAGAACTAGGGGATGCTGGAAATAGAAAAGCTGGGTAAATGATCAGGAACTACAGATGCAAGTATCACCAATAGAATACAAGAGATAGAAGAGAGAATCTCAGGTGTTGAAGACTCATTAGAGGATATACAGTTGTCAACCAAAGAAAATCTCAAAACCAACTAATCCCTACACAAAATATCCAGGAAATATGGGACACCGTGAAGAAGCCAAACCTGAGAATAATAGGTATAGAAGAAGGTGAAGAAATACAGCTCAAAGGTACAGAAAACATATTCAACAAAATCATAGAAGAAAACTTCCCTAACCTAAAGAAGGATGTGCCTATAAAAATACAAGAATCTCACAGAACACCAAATAGGCTGGGCCAGAAAAAAAAAGTCACCTCGCCATATAATAATCAAAACATCAAACCTACAGAATAAAGAGAAAATATTAAGAGCAGCTAAAGAAAAAGGCCAAGTAACATATAAAGGCAGACCTATCTGAATTACACCTGACTTTTCAATGGAAACGATGAAAGCCAGAAGATCCTGGACAGATGTCCTACAAATGCTAAGGGAACAAGGATGCCAGCCCAGACTACTATATCCAGCAAAGCTTTCAATTAACATAGATGGAAAAAACAAAATATTCCATGACAAAGCCAGATTTAAACAATACATATCCATGAATCCAGCTCTACAGAAGGTGCTAGAAGGAAAACCTAGATCCAAGAAAGATAACTACACTCACAGAGACACAGGCAATATATAATCCCACTTTACAAAACACCAAAAGAAAAAGGGAGGAGAAACTACACAAAATAACTTCACTACCAATAAATCAAGCACAAACAAGAATCATCAATCAATGGTCATTAATGTCTGAATGGTCTCAATGTCAACGGCCTCAGCTTGCCTATAAAAAGACACAGACTAGCATAATGGATACGAAGACAGAACCCATCCTTCTGCTGCATACAAGAAACACATCTCAACATCAAAGACAGACGTTATCTCAGAGTAAAGGATTGGGAAAAGATTTTCCAATCAAACAGACCCAAGAAACAAGCAGGTGTAGCAATCCTAATATCTAACAAACTAGACTTCAAATTAAAATCAATCAAAAGAGATGAAGAAGGACATTTCATATTCATTAAAGGAAAAGTCCATCAAGATGAAGTCTCAATTTTAAACATCTGTACCCCAAATACAAAGGCACCTACATTCATGAAAGAAACATTACTAAAGCTCAAATTACACATAAAATCTCACACACTAATAGTAGGAGACTTCAACACTCCGCTCTCACCGCTAGACAGGGTCTCCAGACAGAAACTTAACAAAGAAACAAAAGAACTAATAGAAGTTATGACCTAACTGGGTTTAACAGACATCTATAGAACATTCCACTCAAACACAAAAGGATATACCTTCTTCTCAGTGCCACATGGAAGCTTCTCTAAAATTGACCACATAATAGGAAACATAGCAAATCTCCACAGATACAAAAAATTGGAATAACCCCCTGTATCTTATCAGACCACCATGCATTAAAATTAGAATTCAACAATAACACAAATCGCAGAGGATGTGGAGAGAGGATGTGGAGAGAGGGGAACACTCCTCCACTGCTGGTGGGAGTGCCAACTCGTACAGCCACTTTGGAAATCAGTATGGAGATTCCTCAGGAAAATGGGAATCAATCTACCACAAGAACCAGCAATTCCACTCTTAGGCATATATCCAAAAGAAGCAAATTCATACAACAAGGGCATCTGCTCCACTATGTTCATAGCAGCATTATTTGTAATAGCCAGAACCTGGAAGCAACCTAGATGCCCCCAACTGAAGAGTGGATAGAGAAAATTTGGTACATTTATACAATGGAGTATTACTCAGCAGAAAAAAACAATGGAATCTTGAAATTCGAAGGTAAATGGATAGCACTGGAAGAAACCATCCTGAGTGAGGTAACCCAGTCACAAAAAGACAAACATGTTATGTAGTCACTCATATATGGATTTTAGACATGGATCAGGATAGTGCCAGTCTGCACTTCCACTGACAGAGAGTCTGGGAAACAGGAAAGAACCTAAGTGATATGCATGGTACCCAAGAGAAGAGGAATGAGGCAAGATCCTCTGAACAGATGGGGAACACGCGAGGGGTGGGGGGGGGAGCAGGAGCTGGGAAGAAGAGAGGGGTAGAAGAGGAAGAGAGAATAGGTCATGGGGGAACAGGAAGGTTGAGTGGGGGAAGAGGGAATCATAGGTTAGAAGACAGATCAGGCAGCAGTGTGACCTCTAGTGATCTAAAGGGATGACACCAATTGGCAAGCTAAGCAACAGTGGAGAGACCATCTCTAATGCCCATTCCTGATAATGAACTTAATGTCTATAACCATCCAGGAGCCTTCATCCAGGGACTGATGGAAGCAGAGGCAAACACCCACAGTTAAACACTGAACTGAACCCAAGGAACCCAGTGACAGAGAGAGAAAAGCAATGAGCAAATTGGCAAAGAATGGGCTGGCAAAACCAGCAGAGACAGCTGATCTGAACAAGGGAGAGCTCTTTGACCCCTAAGCAACAGCTGGGAGGCTAGCATGGGACTGATGCAGACCCCCTGAATGTGAGAGTCAGTGAGGAGGCCTGAGCAATCTATGGGGCCCTGAGCAGTGGATCAGTGTTTATCCCTGGAATACAAACAGACATCATGTGTCCATAACACAAAGAGGGTTGCTTTCTCAGCCTG